TATAGACATATGTATAATTATTATAAATTGTATATTATTATATTATATTTATATGATGCCTATGATTTATGCATTTTGATTTTTGATTGGTAAACATCAAATAATTTTAAGGTTATAAAATATAATATCATATATTATTGATAAAATTATATGATAGTTATAATATCAAACGGTATACTGTACTTTGAACTGACTACTGTATACTGTAATAAATTGATAATTCGATACCCGGATCGTACAACGGAAGCACTTTTAGTATTATTCACTGTTGACATTTTATAAATTAACACCAATATTCAGATGTCGATAGCTCCTTCAATTATTATCACATAAATGTAAATGAACCGTCAAAATTCATTAAAAATTAAACTGTGCAGGAATCATATTTCAAAAATATAGGTTCCCATTTGAATTTTAAAAGTTGACCCTCAAACCTCCCCATCCTAATTAATAAAAAAAATATTTAATATCAAATTAATTTAGATTATATGATTCAAAACAGTTTTCACATAGGTCATTTTCCCCTAATTTAAATATATCATACTGAAATCTGCTGTCACATGAAATTTGGAACACCCTGTATATATGCTCACTCACGCCGCTTTTACTCTTCCTCCGCAAACCATCAGTAACCACGTTAAGAAAAAATACGACACGAGGATTCTTTTACCTCACCCCCATACTCACCGACATGCCAAGCATACACACATCACCAGACTTCTACGTTTACGCACCTGACGGCGTGGTGAAGGGCGGGCAAGGCGGTGAGTGTGTAAACAAAATTAGATTTTCGGGGCTTCCAGGCGCAGGTCTCGACGGCCGCGGAGGACGATATACAAATTGGATTCGATTAGGGCTTCCAATGCCGCCACTGCCGCCCGCCGCCGAGTCGAATACGTGAACCGAATGGAAAACGTTGCTATATAATTCGGAACGCATAATATATATATATTGGAGGTAAATATCGCGCAATAACATTATTTCCACCAAAACCACTATTAAATTTATATATATTTACAAAAAGTGTATACCATGCAATAATAATATAGTATTTATAAAACAACGCTTTGTTTATATTATGTTTGGCGTATTTATTGACTGTGCTGAAGGATCTTGGCGCTTCTAAATAAGTTTTCCGATAGTTATTATAGAATAATATAACTGGCATTTTAACATTATTTCCATTTCAAAATTTTAATGATAGACCTTCAAACGTTTGAGTAGGTTGAACATTTATATAGATTAGAAGATTAGGTTTTTATAAAATGTTTCGTTTTAGTCGAACGGTGTAAATACTATACGTCTACAGAATCGCATAAACATGCGATTGTTTGATTGTATTTACAGATATTGTTTAAATATTATTATTTACTACGTGGTACTACTATAATACGTCTTGAACATCACTGTCGTAATTTTTTAAGATGTGATGATGAAAAAAAAACACGAACGACTCGCCGTGCCGACAAAATACGCTGTCGTCGATGCGAGAAAACAGAATTCCTATAGAAGTCACGTTTTTTATTTTTCCGTAGAGAAATCGATGAATTCGCCACATAATGTATAAGAAGTATAATCACGTACTTTTATTTTTTCTCGGAATCGGTCTTAAAACAGTGGCGACCGAAAAGGGTGTAAAAAATGTAATTTATACTATAGCTAGTATAATAAAACCGACGGAAACGTCAGAACGTATTATATAATATATTATTATTGCTCGTATACAGTATTTTGGTTCTTAACGGAGGTTTTTTTCTCATGACATTTCCCGATGTCAAACTTGGACATTGAACTCGAAACATAATTTTTTTTCAACGTGAATCGACTATATTATATTATATTATTAAACAATGTATTGTTTTCGATGTAGATTCGCGATACCGGTGCAGTCGACAGCTACGACCTAATATCCATGATACCATGCAGAATGGACAACGGTCAGTATATATAGGTAATATATAATTATTGAATCTATATTGATGCCATTGAGTTTAATCATTTTATGGCATAATATTTTTTGAAGCGTGTTCACCAAATCGGTACCGACAAATGAAAAAAAAAATAACCTGTTGTTTGAAATCAGCAATGTGTGTAGGACTAAAACTGCTGCAAGGCCGATATAGAAATGGTTTTATTTTTGGGGATGTACTATTATTTAAAAACAATATATATATACCCAACTGACACTATACACATACAATTTTCAGGCGAACGGATATTAAATATAATGGATCTACGCACGAAATATGACATGCTCGCAGTTGTACGAAATTATAAACGTAATTTGAACATTGGTGATTTTAATTGCATGTGATTATTTTATTATTGAACATAAAAACATTCAGCTGCATAATATAATGTTGACCACTCACACAGCCCTCATAATAGTTTTGCTTTAGTCATAACGTTACGAAATATTCAAGTGAAACTGTATATCATATACTTAATTTATCCCGTCATATACCTAAGGCAAATCATCTTAAGGCGATAAAACTCGTTTTGAGCGTGTGATTTTGATCTCACTTTGAAGATCCTGCCATAAAACTATTGAATATGAAATCTTATCGAGAACGATCAAAGTTGATTCATCCTGCAGGTTGTACCACAGCGTTGTGCACACGACCAATATTATACAAGTCATGTTAAGCTATTAGTGTATGATATCAAGTTGTAACTCTTGAATATTATATTTGGTAATATTATACAGCATATAAATATTTGGAACGTATTTAAACTGTGAAAATATAGCTACTGCACGAGTATAAAACACTTCGCGGTCTTACGTTATTATATTTTAAAGTACCTATAAATATAATAGTATAGTACACAAGGCCTACAAAATAATGAATAATTACCGCCGGACATATTATTACTGGACCTGGAAATATTTCAATCGAATAAGATTTGGCGTTATTATATTTTACCTAACACCGATAAGGTATAAGTGATGAGTAAAATAGGATTTTTTAATTAATGACATGTAACTGTATATTATGCTCGTGATAATGGTAAACATATTATTATTGACGAGTGACGACGACCGGGTAAACAAAATACACAACGAATACATTTTTTAACCATAATCCCAGCGTATGACACTATGAATGTAGGATCCATTTTTCAACCATCTCAAGCAAATGCGTTATTTTTTGAAATACATTTTAATGTTTGTATCCTAACAAAACTACAGTAACACGGCGTTCCGGATAGGCAATTCAGGTACACCACCCAGGTATCAGCGCGTGTGAGCACGCTTATACCGTTACGGTATATTGCATAACACAATATTATTTTAATGATTCAGATGGAAACTAAAATATGTCAATCGATTAAACCTATTTCGTATAGGTGTGGAGGGGGAGAAGTACAAAAGTATGCAGAAGTACCACAAGCAGGTGGTACTCAGGCACTGAGTATTCGATTTGCCTCATAGTTTTACCGCCCCTATTTTCACTTCTATTACGACTGACCATTAGATGTATCAATCACATTATAAGATTTCATCAGGTCGAATCAGCATACAAACAATAACAATATATAATCATACATCGAGCTTTCGAACGTTGGCTAGACTATTTCAAAAATAATGTATAGATAATAATTATCGCTGCCGTAATAATGTATAAAAAAAGGTTATTTAATTTAAATTAGATGAGACTTACCTCTAAGGACCTGTGAACAAAAATCGCATGGTGTAATTTTCTTATACGTGTACTCCTGGAACTGGTGCGCCGTTTCAGTGTTGGCCGAGAATTGTGGGTTTCCGTCACGTCCGGTTTTCCTACATACACACATTTATACATATTATTATACAATTAGATAATTATGAGTGAACAATTATAAGAGTACCTAGTCTTGTAGGTATACAACAGCAGCTGCTGTATAGCTGCCGCGTATATGTTATATAAAAAATATTATATTATATTCGTTTAAATGCGTATTATTTTTATTATATTTTATACCTATATATATTATATAGGTATATATTTATTTTTTTTGTCACCGGATGCGATTTTATAATATCATAATATCATAGAGTCAAAAGGATCAGCCTTCGCGCGATCAGCGTAAGTATGCTTCTTATATTTTAACGGGCCACCGCAGCCATTTCACTGATGCACTTCGGGGCATCGCAGGAGTGCATATACATATATATGTTTATTATAATAATAGTACGGGTAAACCGCCGTCGTCAAAGGGTAGTATAATAACAATACCGCGTAGAAGAGTGTTTATACATAATAATATAATATACGCTATACATCCGACCGTCCCACAAAGGACGTACGATGCGATCTCGTTGACCCCTTGGAATAACAATATTATTATAATGGCACGCGTATCGGGGGAATCGAATGCGGGCGACAATATATTATTTGACGACAGTCGACAATACCAGTGATTACTTTTTTCGCTTGCGACTCACATCGGCATCATTATCATCATCATCATTGTATTTGTACAACAACACAACACCACGTTGGACCATGTCCGGAATTGTATTATTTTTTTCCGTTCAAATATTTTCAATACATTAAATTAAACAATCCTCTACACTCAATCCCCCTATAGACCGAAGTTTACGAGGCGACTGACGGATGTCGTTATGTCGTATATCGAAAATCGCGTCATATATACTGACGACGAGAAGCGTTATTTAATCTTTTGCGGGGCTTAAATGTTTATCCGAGTTGAGGTCTTGACTCTTTTGATTTCGTGTGCATACATGAAAGAAAAATTATATTTTCTCAAGTGACCATGTGGTGAATTAACAGCACGAATATTGTAACAAATCGTATATTTTAAATCTGTCATACGTAAGATTTTAAAAGCCGACAGTTTCACTACTCAGGTTATTTGTTCTAAAAAACAAGGCACCTGTAGCGTAGGGGTGAAAGTATTGTTATGGATTTGCGTAACTTGAGTTTAATTTAAGATATTTTAGTTTGGAATTCTCGTATACGATTTACTGGACAGTAGACAATTTACAATTTTCATTAAAACTCAAATACTTAATGATTAAATGTTAACTAAAAGTATTACATATCAATATGTTATGTTTCATTAAAACTTTATAACTATGGTTTAAGTGGTTTAACCTAACCGTATACCTTATAGTTATAATATGTATACTATATAAAATTAATTACATTGATAATAATTGTCGTACAAGTATACAATACTCGAAAATCAGTAATTAACATAACAATATCATTTAAAATCTCAATAAATCAGATATTCTAACAAAAGCATTTTTGCTGATAAATATATGTCATACAGATAAATCAATTGAAACAATTGTCATACATTCACATTATAATATGTGTATTGCATAAACTAATGGAATTAATAACTAAAAAATATTTCATAAAATTACATGAATTTAAAACTATAATTATTATAACTACTGTAAAGTGGCATACGTTTGTTTAATTTCACCGATTTCAATTTGTTAGTTGGTACTCATATATTTTTTATCAGCCCATAGAAATTTAAAAAAAAACGGAAATTAATGTCTTGTTTTATTTTGTAAATTATTTTAATAAGCATATAGTTTGTAATTGTTATTAAATTATTAAGTAATAAATAATGACAGTCGTAGTTATTGAGTTTTGATTAGTGAATTCAAATTGAAAGGTTAACTTAACAATATCATAGGTCTTTTGAAACTATTATTATTAAATCAGTACTGGTCTTACTTTTCGTGAAGTGCTATTTTTTTTCTTTCGAAATACCCTTGGTAAAGAAAATAATTCACAAGGATGTTGAGAAAATAAAATGTTTCTCCTACGCATAATGGGTCCAAAAGCATTTGTATTCCAAGAGAGCTTTTGGGCTTTTGAAATTTGCATTATTATACAGAACATTTTTGGATACAATTGAGGCGCATTCAATTTAAATAATAAACACATAACTGAGGAGCATTACTTATTATTTTACACTGACGATAATAAAAGAAATAATCTTAATAATAACTACCATTATTAATATTATTATATAGATGGTTAAATCGAATAAATAGTCGAATTCGTACAGCTACTAGAATTTAAGAAAACACTCAATAATTATCGTTCTGAAATATTAAAAGCGTAATTTACTATAAGATTTTTGTTAAAAAATAACTGAAGTGTGATAAATATGGTAGGAAAAACCTTATTGTCAAATATTATAAACATGCCAAAAATTACAAGGACGAAACATACTTAATAAAAAAATAGTGATTAAGTATTAATGTGTTATAAAAGGAAACTCCTGCTATACTAAAGTATTATATTTTTAATGTAAATAAATTATGAATACATATTGAAAGTATATTGTAGCATATAGAGACTAGAGACATTACTTAAACACTGAACAATCTATATTTTGAAGCGTTAACTTCTATTGAAAACTTAAATTTTACAAACATTTTAGGCACACGCACTACTAATATTTATATTTTTCTCTTATTTTTATTTTTATTTTCATTAATATTATTTGTAATTTAGTTTTCACTAAATATTTAATTTTATATTAAAGTTTAATATTGTCAAAAACTCAAAACCATATTTTGATTTTTAAATTGTGAATACCTATATTTTAATATATTTAATTTATGCTGCCGTCACAAAATCAAAACTTAAGAGGGCTATGAACAAAATAATATTGAAAAAATAATAACGAAATATAAGCTGTTCGGTTTGAGTGTTTAACCTAATTTTTACAAATATAAAATTCCATAAATCGTAATACACATTCCAACACAACGAGTACATAGTGTAACAAGAATCACACGGTATATAAGTTAGTTAACACGTTGTTTCGTATATTTTCTGTATGTTGATTTCAAACTGCGCAATACGGTATTACATATCATCATCATTTTTATAGGTGTCATTTTCAGCAGCCCTTTGAACGTTATTCGACACCATTGATCCTACACTGATAAAGGTATGGAATAACATACTTAAAATTACATCGTGTTAGGGTTTAAAATTTCTCAACCTTTGATCTCATATCGGATCTATCGAGAAAAAAAATAGTTTAACAACGAGTTAAAAATGTTGGTATTTTATTATCACGTAAAAAATAATTAATAAATAATATCGTCATATGAAAATATCATATATTTTTATTTATAAAATCAATGCTCGTTTGAGCAAATTTAATATTTATAGACAATTTGTTTGTATCCGTGAGTTAATTGAACTTTTAAGGCATTCAAAAAATAGAAGTAATACAATTTTAGTATTTATAAAAGTGTAAAGTGTGATTATAGTTATATACGTCTTAAATATACACATATATAGTATATTCTCAACGTTCTGATGAAATACCACCGTCTAACTACAACCACTACAAATTAAATCATTAAGTGGTGTCAGGTAAATTATTATGCTCGAACAAAACGCATTAAGTAAATTAAACTATTGGAATGGTAAAATATTCACATAGACTCGGAGTATAACAACAAATTGAACACAATTCATGAACTATTCGTTGTAAATTATGTATCACTAACATTTGCAGACAATGATATTTTAAATGGTCTAATAATGTATATTGGTCGTTTTCTATAATAATTGAGTTCAGTTCGAAATCTGGTTTAAGCACTATTCATTAACGTCAAATTTTAAACGACAACACGCTTGTAACGAACCAACTCAGGCCATAGCCTATTACGAATAAATAGTTGTAACAACGAGTTGTACTTTATTTTAACTGTGCGAAAACAAAATAAAAACATAAATGTGTTACAATAAGAAAACGAATCACGATTTTTTTGCATTGTCTGGTAGAAAATATTTTTAAAAATATTATTAGCTACCTAAAGTGAATTACTATAATGGTTTGCTTATTATTGAATATTGTATAACTCATACAATTGATACTTTAATAGAATTAAGATGTTTGACGGTATTTTAAAACCAGCTATAGTTATAAACCTAATCGTGACGTCAGTGATGACGTATTCCAAAATGTTCATGACATCGAAATTATAAAAATTTTAATTAGAGAACTGCAAACCCACCCTCAATATTTATTGCGAGTCACGTATGACCACACGCGAGGGTTAAGGATTATTTTAATTTAATGTGTAATGTAAAGTGTTATCGGTTATCCTTATCTTAAATCGTTGCGTGTTATTATATTTAATCGCCGCGGTGCGCATTATTTAGGGTTTCCGAAATCTGAACCATCCAACTCCGTTGAAATCGTAGTGCACATAGGGATCGTTATATAATCATTCTATAACCATCGAATAATTGGACAGCAGAAATCGTAATATAATGACTTAATAATGGATACAGCTATATAGAACAGTATGAGTCTGATGTAACATATTATTAATATTATTAACCAAACTGTGAAAAGCGTATTCCGAGAAGAGGGCTCGTATTGTGGTAGCAACAATAATACTATATTTGAGAAGAATGAATAAAACTTTGACGTGGATCGTTTTACACGTCAAATCATTTTATATAATATGTTAGGATGTAAATCCATTGGCGGTGGTACACACGTCGGTGCTCGTTAACCATAATATTTATACACATAGCGCTGTTAGTCACAAAAGCCAGTATGAATTTTCTACGCATAACATTTTCGGAAAACGGCGCACCGATAACGTCTCTTGAGTTTGGTAACTTTTAAAAACTGTTGAATACCAAATAAAGACCAAATTTTTAATAATTTTTCATATACCTAGGTATTTTTTAAACGTCAAATTATTATTCTTAAATTTATATTTCGAGGTGTGATGTATTCGACTGTACGGTAACGGTTTTAAAATGAATATCA